TGTAATGTAAGTCTTCTTAGTAATGTCACATCCATTACTAAACTGGCACCTAAATTCAAACTCACACTTGCCGAACATTAAGTGGCTTGACAGCTCATGAAAAGAAGAAAAAGACAGTGTGCATCCCTCATTTGCACATGTTATGGTGTTTTCTTCCTCTTCAGCTTTAAGTGGCAGTTGGTGAAAAACCACATCAATTTCACCCTCTATCTCTGAACATGAAGTATTGAAAATACACTTTTCAACGGTTGGAATATTAGATGAAGGTATTAGCTTTCCTAAAATGTAGAAAATAAAATTATATAACTTGTAATTTGAGAATACTGTTCAAACAATAATTGATTAATTGATTTATTGTTGCTGTTTTACACTTGGTCAACATGAACTGGCTATATTGTAGCTATGGACATGAAATGTATGTGTGAAATGAATATAACTTTACTTTGAGTCTTTTTTGTGTTGTGCTGGATATATATAATCCCTGCCACATCTAGTCTGTGTCTATATTGTCAGTTGTTTTTTGTTTTGTATTGATCAATCTGACAAGAAAGAACTGTTTTTTATAGTTTGTTCTGATGTTGTACTGTTACACCACTGTCCCATGTTAGGGAGAGAATTAAATAGTGCCAGCAAACTTGTTCATTTGGATCTTGAACCTGCTAACCCACATAAAGGAAACGGTTTGCAGGAAGACATAAATAATATTTGGACACTATATTCTGACTTGGAGCAAACTAAAATATGTGAGGTTGTTTTCAACATAATCGCAAAAGACAATACTTGAATCATATATATAAAATTATGGTCTATTGACTGCTTACAGCTAACAATAGAAAATCAGTGTTTTGAGATCATAATTAGGAAATTATAAAAAGAAAAGATAAGAAAATGATGACTCCAAATGGGCTTATTGTTGAAGGACGTACAGTGACCTATAGTTGTTAATTTCTGTGTCATTTATTCTCTTTGTGGATAGTTGTCTCATTGGCAATCATACCACATCTTCTTTTTTTATATTCATGTTTAGGGGAATTATTAAAATAATATTTATCTTTTTACCTGTGCCAACTTGGTATGCCTTCCATGCAGTAATGCCATGTGCGCTAAATGTGAAGTTACTGTAAGATGATATTGCTGGTATAGGAGTGTACTTGGTTTTCCTACACTCAGTTCCTTCTATAACACGAACTATGTACTTTTTATTTTTGGCTGACTTGTCTGTTGCCTGTAAATAAAGTGAAATTATTGTAAATGCCTATAAGAAGAAAAATAACTAGAGCAGATTAGAACTGTTGGCTTTTTTTTTTGGTTGTAAAGCTTTACTTAAATTATAAAAACCTCATAACATAATAGATACAAAATCATAACAAACAAGAATGTGTCCCAAATACAGGGATGCCCCATCCGCACTATCATTTTCTATGTTCAGTGGACCGTGAAAATGGGATAAAATTTCTAATTTGGCATTAAAATTAGAAAGATTATATCATAGGAAACATGTTTACTAAGTTTCAAGTTGATTGGACTTCAACTTCATCAAAAACTACCTTGACCAAAAACTTTAACCTGAAGCTGGACGAACGGACGAACGAACAGACGATTGAACGGACGGACGGACGCACAGACCAGAAAACATAATGCCCATAAATGGGGCATAAAAAGAGCTCACATTGAAGTATGGGTTTTGTTCATTGTTTAAGGCCTTGCAGTGACCTATAATTGATAAATTCTATGTTATTTGGTCTCCGGTGGAGAGTTGTATCATGGGCAATCATACTGATTCTTGTTTTTATATTTATATAGAGTAATAAAGTAACTTCAGCTGTCCCATAATTGGGTCTAATTCCTTCAGCTTTTATAAAACCAAATTAGTTATTGTTGTTGCTCACTGGTTTCCACATGTTTTAAATATTTTTAAAGCTGCACTCATGCTCTTCTGGATCTTTTATAATAAACCTTGATTACTGTTTTGCTTGGGGCTGACATTGTTAGATTACTGTAAACTAAGAAATTATTGTGTGCATTTGTTACTGCAATTTTTGAAGAATGAATGAAATTGCGAGATAAATTACTGCCATTTCTGCAAAAGGTGCATACAGACGTATGTTTAAAATATCAGAATGAGAGTTCTTATTAATACTATACTCACCCAGTCAAATTATTCCCATTAATAAAAACCTTGCAATAATTTCTGAATTTCAAAGTACATTTACAGCTGTAACCTTGAGATTTTTAAGACATGAAACTTATTGTTTTTTAAAACTATCTGTACCTTTTTCATTGATTGTGCTGTAAGTACATCATGACCCTGGTTTACATATCTTCTAATAGAAGATTTGATGGTTGCGGCAGTGCGATCACATGGTCCCTTCCCATTCTGGGATTCGCAGAAGTCATATGACAGGATAAGCCCTGAATGGAATAAGAATGAAAGCATCTCTGTAGACTTGTAGCAACCAGCATTGTCAGACCATACATGAAATTTGATGTCAGTGGTGTTGATTTCTCTAATTTTGTCCATAACATCTTGGATAATACTGGCTGTTACTCAGCTGTCCTGTTAAAAGATTATAAACAAAATAAATCACAACCTTTAAACCGCTTTATAAAATATCCATTTCATAAGCATTTATCAACTACAACTGAAGTAAGAGCACAGATACTAAATTGTTTTCAGGAGACGGTATCATGTCAAGTAAATGGACAGGCATTCAAAAACAGATTTGTTTAGGGTAGTCCTACATGTACATACACTATTTGATTAATGATACCAACCCCAAGATAAAAAAAAAATTAACAAGCAAATGTTTAATTCAACATTAATTCATGATATACATGTTCACTAGTTTGTCTTTTATTTTTAGTGTATCAAATTGCATTATGAATATGATAAATGAGATAATAGATATCTCACAACCACATCGGTTTACCGACCACATTTATGAGATTGTATAAGAAAAAAAAATTGAATCATAATTTCCTGTCAATATGCAAATCTACACAGTATGTCCTTATTATCTACAAAGTATCATGAAATTCTGTTGTGTGGTTTCAGAAGAGTTGCAATGACAAACTTTTGCAGTAGTACATTGAAGCAAATAAGTTCAAAGGGGCATAACATTTAAGAAAAAAAATGAATCGTAATTTCCTGTCTATATGCACAACTACATAGTATGTCCTTATTATCTAAAAAGGTTTCGTGAAATTCTGTTGTGTGGTTTGAGAGGAGTTGCGATGACAAGAAATAGGACTGACGGACTGACGGACGGACAGACGGACTGACAGGTCAAAAACATAATACCCTCCGCAACTTGTTGCGTGGGGTATAATTACTGTGAAGGTATATAAAATAACAAATGAACTACATTTGTTCCAATTTTATTGGCCTAATACTAGTGGTTTGCAAATAAACTAGATGTCATCACAAACTATGCCACCAATGCTGGCAACAGCATACGTATGAGTCGCTTTTTGACTACCTCAAGGCGAAACAAAAATCAAGGGTTTATTTAATCTAAATGAAATTTCTGTAATGGATGAATGCAAATCTTTATTTATATAATTTATATTATTCTGGCACCCCAACGATTAGAAAACTGAATAAAGTAAAAAACATAAAAACATATGGCAATTTCGAATTTATCACATAAATGGACTTATTTATCATTTAATTGTGTCCAAATTAAATTCTAACAAACCTTATAGTCAGTCCTTAAATACTGCTTTGATTGTAAGAACAGTGCCTGAAAACTTTTGTGGTCATCAGGTGATATAGCATCGTAGGTCAGCAATTTGTCTAAGACATCTTGAAGGGTAATAAAGGCACGTCCTCCTTCTGCTACAAAATAATCCAGTCCTTCAAGGCTTTTTCTGACTTTAGCACCACACTGGGCAAGTATTTTGAACATCGTACTGTCACCTATTAAAAAACAGTAACAACAAGTTTAGATTGATTGATTATTGTTTTATGTCCAAGAAGCACAAATAGGGTAGATTTGATCCATTTTAGAATTCATTCATACATTTTTTCAATATTCAATGTTATTAGTCAATATGTATTCTACAAGGATAACCAGTCCTTCACCTTTCATCTGATACCTTACTATTTAAATATATTCTACACATAATTTTAAATTTACACCTATGCGAAGGAACTAACTTGTTTTAAATATGTACTTCTTTCAAGTATGTGTTTTTTAACAAGGCCTACTTCAGGTGGTGTTGCATTTTACAAAGTCTATCAAAATTATTTTTGCATAGAATTCCAGCCAAGAAAGTGCTAGGAGCCATCTTAAACCTGCACCTTGTTGAAGGTGTCATTGTGACTTTGAGATAAAGAACAGCAATATTAAAATGAACTGTTCCTTTGCTTTTTGTTTTTTGTGTGTGTTTTTTTTTTTAGATTTTGTGTCATGGATGGATACCCCATATGATATCCTTTAATTTTTCTATTTATCTATATATATATCTTTATTTGGCCTTACCTAAAAGTAAAACTTCATTTTCCTGACAGTATGCTTTGTACTGCTGTATTATGTCTGCTGAACCCATGCAACGTACAACATTAGGTAAATTGTGGACTGTTCCATCTGAAAACTTCAGTTTTTTTTCCCCAAACGGTAGATCACAGACAACATGACTGGATGTAATGAAATCTAAGAATGAGTCTAATCTTTCAGGATCTAATTTTTGTCAATGCAGTTTTTTCTCGGGAATTGGAAGTGCTGGCCCTATTTTCTTTGAATGACTGAGAGCAGCATAGTAGCGATGGGATGTTACTTCTGGTAGTAGAGACAGTAAGTCCTTGAAGGACATTCTTGAGGCAAGAACTGAAAGAACTTGTCTCCCTTGTTGCCAGGATTCTGCTTTTCTGTATGAAGTGACAATATCTTTGTACTCTGTATGATCGGTTCTGTTTTCTTCATTTAACTGCTTGGGACATTTTATATCTTCAATTACCTCGTCAACATCGTTTGGAAATAAAATTCCTATTATCAATTTCATAATCTCATCAATTCTTTCTTTGTAGGTGTTTCTTGTTTTAAATGTGTAGGACTGCCATGTTTTTCTTTCTTTTCTGAGAATTCCTGCAATCTGACTGATGACAGGAAATCATTCAAAGATGTCAAGTAACTGCCACGTTCATAACTTCTGACTGATTGCTGCAAAGAAGTATAAAACTGATTACAATTAAATAAATGAGGAATGGGCCCATGGGTCATAGATGATGCCCCTGCTTGCATGTAACATTATAAAGGTACACAACTTGGTGAATAGTTGTCTAATCACAACTTTACAACATTTCCTTATTTTCATACAGAAGCTTTTGTCAATGGAAAATCAATGAGAAATATACAAATTCTATTTCAGATAATTGTAGTGGCAATAATTTATTTTATCTTACCTCCTATAGATTTATGGGGATATGATTGGTTAATGAATTACACGTGGTGACTATATATATTTGATATAGGGTGTCCTAAAAAATACATGGTTAGTTACCATATAGGGTTAGCAACCATATAGGGTTAGTAAGGAGTTACTTCCCTTTCAAAACAAAAATGAAATCTGAATGGTTTAAACAGACGAATAAACTGATAATGAATGATTGAAATACATTCATAAAATAAATTTAAAGCTAACACGTTGTTATTGTTTTTTGTATAGACAAACGGAAGTCGGTTATTCCCACTATCTGCACATTAAAATCCTTTCAACTCTTTTTGGATGCCGTCAATATTTTAGTCCTTATACATATACCCTTGTTATTTAGTGGCAGTTAGAATTTCACCAACTTTAATTTTAAACAGCCTCTATTACAATGTACTTTGTATATAAAGGAGAATGAAAGATTGTTATACTGAAACCCCGTAAAAATAAAGCGGTCTTTCTTCGCTCCCGAAAAATATTATAAGTTCTGAGTCCTGATTAGTGTAAATTCCTAATAACTGTACAAATTTAGGCGCAATATAGGATTAAACGACTTTCTAAAGGAATTTATTGGTGTATAAACTCGACCAATTCACTCACAAACAAATTAAACACAATTGGTGATATGTTTGTGAGTGACTTGGTCCAGTTTATACACCAATAAATTCCTTTAAAAATGCATTTAATCCTTATAATTCTTTGAATGTAGAGATAAGGAATTTGATTTCTCCACTCGTAACCTCTATTACACATAAATTGTAAATTTATGGCATTTTGAATTGACCTGGCGCATGAATATTTTTTTGGGTTAACACCATAAAATATACTCCATGAAATTTGTTATCTGAAAAAATAACCTAAAAGAATATCTTATTTTCTTTCAAATAAATGTTTTGTGTTTATAATTTAATTTGACGATGAACGCTAAGTGAAAATAAATATTTTTAACATTGAACCGGTTTGTGTTATTATCGCAGCCATCTTGTTTACATTGGTTAATAAAAGTAGTTCTGTCAACGTTGTCTATCGAAAAATAGATCCACTACCGGAAGCCCTCTCGACCAATCATATTAACGTATTCCCTAATATGCAAATCATATAAGAATTATTCCCAAATACCTGTAATAAAAATGTTACAATTCTAAAGTCCCAGGAAGAAGTCTTCCGTCTCTCATTAAAGAACTTAACAATAATATTTATTGTTTATATGCTGTTGTCCTAAAAATGCATGAAATATTTGCCACAGGACGTAGCATGTCTCTTGTTTGGGTGTTTTTAAGTGATTTTTGAAACCCCAAATTTATAATAAAGAACCTGAAAACAAGTTTATGATTTCAAGAGCTTTTAAAAAAGTCAGAACTGTTGAAAAAAATTTGAAAACACCTCTGCAAGAAGCCAGTCCTGCATTATCCTCATACATGTTTAATATAGTAAGGCATCACAGCAGTTTATTAGTACATGTACAAAATAATTTACTGAGTAAACGATTAATTTAACTGTACTAAAGTGTTTATTTTCACTCTAAGTATGCATCAAATACTTGCCACTAGACATTACGCAGGCAACGGTAAAGAATTATGTATATGTTGATAATCAATCTTGCATAAATACAAACAACTGGCGTTGAACAAAGTAATGCTTATACTTCAGGATTCATGTCTTTTAAATGCGGCTTTTATTTCTGTTTTGAGTTGTCACATTGATCATGTTTAAGTGTTAATGATATAAACTTCAACCAATGACAAGTGATAGAATACTTATTTTGAGGATTTTACTTACTTGTGACTGGGATAAATAATTTTGACTTCCTGACTCTTCTGATGTAACTGTATATTCAGATGCTGAAATTTCAATCTGAAAAATAATGATGTATTTTGTTTACATTTTTTGAAATCCTGAATGTGCTAAATGCATTAACACATTTTTAGTTTTCAAACTTAATTAATTACTATAGAAATAAAATGTACAGATTTTTTAAATGTTATGGTCTGTATACAGTATATAATTTTTGCACTAAACTAAATTCCAACCTTGTGTTAACTTAGAAAGTTTTTAACACCGTCATTGCATTGTTTTACATTTGTCTTTTGGGGTCCTTTTATAGCTGACTATGTGATTATGGGTTTTGCTTATTGTTGAAGACCTTACAATGACCATTTGCTATTTACGTCGATGTCTTTTGGTCTCTGGTGGAGATTTGACTCATTGGCCATTATACCACATCTTCTTGTTTTCGTATGAAATGTGCCCAAAAAATGATAAATATGTTGTTCTTGTGTTGAAATAATGCAAATGACTAAAATATCCTTTACCTTGTTATAATTGTCTCATATTTTAGGGACCCCCCCCCCCAAAAAAAAAAAAAAAAAAACAAACATCAATTATATCTAAAAAGACACTAGCTGTGCTTACAAGATTATCACAAATATTTTCTTTTTCTGTTAACATATCCAACTCGTCAGTCTCCATGAGATAGGTTTCATCATCTGTATTCAAGTTTGTGCATTGCTGAATCTGTTTAATACAAATATAAAATCAGTATATTTTTTATACTATTGATAAGAATCTTCCCTTGATAGCCTTTCCATACCAAAAGAATTGTTTTCATTGCAAAGCCATACAGTGACCTGCATTTGTTCATATCTGTGTTCTTTGGTGGGTAGCTGTCTCATCGCCCATCATTCAACATCATCCTCTATGTAGAATTTATATTGAACAAACATACAGTCAATCAAGCATAAACATATATGCCAAAGACCTATATCTTAGCAGATTATGGTGCAATGTGTCTGTTGTATACAAAATTGTTCATAAAGTTGATACTGGTGTCAGACAGGTTTACAAAGTAAAAAGTCTGAGTCTATTTTTTTATTATTTTTTGTTCCAGTAAATTAGGTAAGAGTTCATTGACCCTATATGGAATTTGTATAAAGTGTATTTTACTTAGCAGTTATGGTTGATATTCATTGGATTTTTTTTATCCATATTTACATAATGATTTATGATTATACAGCTTGCTGTACATGTAAATTTAAAAATGGAAATAAATTCACAGATACTCTGATTGTTAAAACAATATTTTGTTTGCCTTACCTGGTCATCTTCACACTTTCCTTGATCCAGACTTTCAGCTTCTATCTCTGTGGACTGCTTGGAAATTTTAATAAGGCAGCTAGTGCATGCAGCTGAAAAAAGAAGCATTGACTTGACATAGGCTGTATTGATCATTTGGAAATGTGCTTCTTAAATTTTTTTTTGAAAGGGCATATGGGTTGTTTAAATATATTGGATTTTTCTCATATGGGTCCGATCATTCCTGAAAACTTACATATATACATGTACATGTACATGTATATGGTTAATAGAAACTTTACAGCAATCATTATGGTTATGTTTATATTGAGATTGAAAAGATCAAAACACAGTTTCTACAGACATCTTACATGTAACAGAAAAGATCAACATGTTCATGTGTATGACCTATTGAATGTAAATTGCACCCCACTGATATATGACATTCCAAAATGTAACCCATATCAGCAGCTCTTCTAGCCAAGTCTGTGTATTCTTTTAGTTTTATATATATACATAAATAAGTACCTCAAGTGTAGGATCCTCCCCTCATTAGGAAGCTTCCATTTGATTTTTATGGGGTTAAGGATAAAATAAAAAAAAAATGGCAGGACAGGAGCAACAGGAGTTTTGAGGAAAAAAAGGCAGGCATATGCAACTATTCCAGTCATAATTACGTTCGATAACTCTGCATGTTACTGGTTTAATTAGGATTATGTAAAATTTACTGGTTACCCGTGTGATAAATGATTTAAAGAAAATTTATTATTATTTCACCTTGGTTAACATCCATTCGAGGTCTTCTTTTATAAATATAAAATAATATCGTAATGAATTTCATTGAGAATCGGACTACACTACTCTACATAGGTATTGTCAAAACTTACATTTACATAGGTATTGTCAAAACTTACATCGTGATTAGGTGCCATGTCTGTTTTCTTTGATCACGTTGATGTTATGACTTAATATCTCCTTAATCTAGCTATGTCCTTGGGTATTATTATAGTGCCAATAACGTGTCATATTTAATTGCAATATAAACATTGAAATTAAATTGAATTATTTGCATGGACAAAATAAGTGTCAAACATCGTCTACGTTTGAAAGTTATTTGGTCGCCATTTTTTCAAAATTTAATAAAAAAAAAACAGCATTTATCAGCTTTATCAAAAGGAACCAATGTTTGATTGTATGCTACTTTAAGGTAAGACAAGGACTGAAAACGGGAGCATCCAACAGTTATTTGATTTTCATCGTAACAATCTTACAAAATATATTTTTACCAAGTCGGCCCACGCTGTCAATGTGGTCGCCATCTTGAAAAATAATACGAGATATTCTGAAAATAGCTAATTTTCAAATCAATTTCGAAGGGACATAATAAAAATATAAACTATTGCATATACGATATTTCAAATATTTATGAATATAGTAATATGCACATATTTCCACAATTTGTCCATCTGTTTTGTTTAAATCGCAATTTTAGGTTTAACACGACAGAATATCCAATATTTATCGGAGTTGGATGATTAAACAGTGTGAAGTTATCGAGGCAACAAGACAAGTTTTCAAAAGCATTTGGAAGGGAGAAGACCAAAATTTAAACTTTTCCAAAAGGCATAAATATATTTCTAAATATATGAGGAATTAATATATATTTCCACACTTTTTGTATCATGAACTTAAAGTAATTTATTTTATCGATTCCTGAGAGCCCCTGTTCATTTCTATACATTTTACTGGGGCATATACGGGTGATGTGTGACGTCACCAAAGTCACGTGATGACTGCTATAGTTGGATATGATGAGGAACTTTGTCAAAAAAAAGGCAGGATGACAAATAATGTAAAAAAAGTCAGAATAAAACTAATAAAATAATAAGACAGGACCCATTATCTAGATAGAGTGAAAAATAAAAAGGCAAGACAGAGATAATATCAGATTACAACTAAAAGAAGTGCAGGACAAAATCTCCACCCCCCCCCCCCCCCCCCCTTCCCCCCCCCTTAAAATTCAAATGGTAGCAAAAAGGGGGCTCTTTTGTATTTCTAGAGTGTTATTTAAAAAAATATTAAACAGGCAATTGGAAATTAAAAAAATAAACAGTCACTTATAATTTAGTTTTTAACTTACGTGTTCCAATAGGAAGTGTGAGGCCATAACACTTCTGAATTTTCTCTACATCATTGATGGTGATATTGCGGCTAGGCTTTGGCTTTTTAACACCAACAACAGAATGTGATGCTACTGGAGGATGAGCACTTATCAAAGTAGGAAGCTGACATACTTTTCTCCTTCTCAAATCCGAGTTTCTTTTCAATAATTGGTTAAAATGGGTTGAGCATATATAAAAATCAGTAAAATTCTTTGGCAAAAGACCAGATTCAGTTAAAATTATATTTTTGTCATTGCAATCACATGTGTTGATATCAGTTACATCATCAGAACACTCATCTGTAGTGCAGTTTGTGTTAAAATTGCAAACCATTTCGTGTGTCTGCTGCTGAAGCTACTTTCATTTTCAACATAAACAACAAAAGAGTTGTACTAAGGGAAATAACTCTAGTAGAAGTTTGCACTCCTGATAGCAAATTTCTATATGACCAAGGTGAATTATTTTTCTTATTTGAAATAACACATATCTGATTTTTGGCATATAAAAACTATTATGTGATAACTTTGTATTCTGTTAATTTCAAGGGATTTTATCGGTGCATTTTGAAGAAATACTAAGTTGGACTTTAAAGGTTCCCACTGTAAATTTCGGAAAATGAATTTTATAGTTACCATGGCAATGAACATTACCATATTTTTTAATTATGACCAATATGTTTCTACATCACTAAGCATTCATTTAAAAAAGTTTTATGAAAATCTGTGACCACTGGTTTCCATCATATTTTGATGCTTACAGAGAATGGCTCTTAAAACCTGAACGCGTCAGAAAAGAATATCCCACTTTAGTGTTGTCGGTAAAATAGAATGCAAATCCTGCAAATCTTTGCAGAACATAATTTTTTATTACGGTATTTAAGTCAGATAATACATATTTTATCTCGTCGTATAACACACCTCGGGGTGTCCGGATTGCCCAAAAGAAAGACCTCCCTACGGTCAGTCTTTCATTTGATCAATCCTGATACACCTCGGGGTGTTATACGAAAAAAACATAATATAATTTGCATTATCTATAACGTAATGTCCGTATCGGGCAATATTTCGTATGCTTTCTGTATTTTCAAAAGAGCTTACCCCCGTACGCAGTAAAGTGCAAATTAGTATTTCTAATACTGAAAATGTGTATTGAAAGTACAATCACCTGCGAAGTCAGTGACGGCTCGCTATGCCAAATTCAAAATGTCATTGCATGTCTTTTTCATTTTTTATCTTGTTTTCACTGTACAAATAACCAAAAATACATGATACATTGTAATATAGACTCTATGAATTTAAGTGAACGGCAGTTCATTTATTCTACGATGCCTTGTAAGTGCAACTTTACAGGACAAACCACTGTCCGGGACAAATTTGCCATTCCAGAATTGGTAAATCTAACTTTGTTGTTTTACAAGATAACAAAAATATTTTTTGGCCAAGTGATAGATAATTAAAAAAAAATAATTTCCACATATGTCCCAACATGTCACTGTTGTCACTGTTGCCACTAAAACTGATTAAAAGTACATTTCCCATGGGAAATTAAAAAATTCCCATGGGAATAATAGAAGTATAGCCGGGTAAAATGGAGTTCCGACTATATGGAAATCAAGAAGCAATATTTCGCTCCTTAAACTATTATTTTAGCAGTCCGTCAAGACCGAACAACAAACTCCAAACCAAATGTAAAGTAACATACAAACAATAACAATATATAAGCACAAGCAGTTAAAGGATTAAGAAGATTAACATATGCCAAATAGAAATAACAACAGATTAGAAGAGTAATTAATGTCCGACACGTATAAGTAAATTATTGTCTAAACTGTTACAGAGAATAAATAATTAAATGAATAGAGTAAATGAATTTAAGTCCTTTGTCCAAGATTATGACACATAATCCGTGTAAAACACTTATGCCTAAATTTACGACAAAGTTCAGAATAATAAAATAAATGCAAAACAAGAATATACATTAAAACAATTGAATTCATAAAATGTTGTTTAAAAACTAATTTCATTGCACAGTCCAAATTGTCCGGTCATATATTCCCGCGGCCCTTGAAGACACGACTCGGGTCTTACTGTTCATCTGAAATTGTTCCGAAAGTTTCTTCTGTGGTTGTGGCGTCCTCTGTAACGATAGTTTTGGTTTGAATAGTTATCTTCTCTTGTAATTTTCCGATAATTGTCCAATTCGTCTTCTAGTTTGGTGATTCGATCCCGCATATGTTCTTTATCGCGTTGTAGATAGATTGAATTGCTTATCGATTGCTTCACATCTTTGATCGTACAGCCCAAAATTAGATTCTTCAAGGTTATTAATGCGTTCACGTAATTTTGCAATTTCTTTTTGGTCATCTGCGTTTTGTTTTTGAAGTTTTTCTAGATTGCTAACAACACTCGTATGCTTTTGATTTAATTCTTTAAATTTCTTTTCATAGTGTACACTTTTAAATTTGAATTTAACTCTCTCGGAATTCACTCGGTCGTGTCCGAGTCTTATGTTATCTATGAATTCCTTGTTATATTCTAATGTTGGAAAGAAGTCCATCAGTTCTATGGTATTAAGTTCCGCACAAGGAAACATTGACATAGCTTTCTGTTCTTTGAATTTTCTCATTCTTTCTGCGTCACGACGTAACTTGGATTTCGATTTAACCTTAACAACTTTCACGTCCGATTGCCTCTGAAAATTACACATTCTGGCGTAATGTCCAAAACTTCTGCACTTATAGCAAAATGACGTTTTTGCTATACATTGTCTAAAATGAAATTGATTGTTCACAGTCTTTCCACAAAACTTACATAATGTAAAGTAACATACAAACAATAGCAATATATATAAGCACAAGCAATTAAAGGATTAAGAAGATTAACATATGCCAAATAGAAATAACAATAGATTAGAAGAGTAATTAATGTCCGACACGTATAAGTAAATTATTGTCTAAACTGTTACAGAGAATAGATAATTAAATGAATAGAGTAAATGAATTTAAGTCCTTTGTCCAAGATTATGACACATAATCCGTGTTAAACACTTATGCCTAAATTTACGACAAAGTTCAGAATAATAAAATAAGTGCAAAACAAGAATATACATTAAAACAATTGAATACATAAAATTTTGTTTAAAAACTAATTTCATTGCACAGTCCAAATTGTCCGGTCATAGAAGTTCCGATGGGAACATTAGTAAATAGTTTCTTCCCATGGGAAATTCTAAATTTGCCAAGAGAATTTTTGTTCCCAAGGGAACTAATTTTTCTCGGTACGTCTAAACACTGCTAATTAAGGAGTCCTTAGTGCACTCAGGACGTATACTATGCCACTAAGGACTAGATGCGGTGCTGTTACATGTATTATTTTTCCATATTAAGTTAGAGATTGATATTTAATGCATAAATTAAAAATTTTATAGAAAAAAATCACAAATAAACGAGTCATCAAGCATTGTTTAAGCACGTGCCCATTTTTCTTTGATATGCCGAAAATCAGTGAACCGATTGACACGTGCCATATTACATAACAACTGAATAAACAATCATAATCTTTTTATTTTAAGTAATTAACAATTGTATCGAAAAGATTAATGCTTAATAATTTATAATTAAATATGTTGTTCTTATTTGCAATGATTAAAAGGACAAATAATTTTATTTATTGTTTATATCTTTCTCGACAAAGTTATTTGCCATTTGTGCACGACTTTGATGTGCGCCAACTAATAAGTTAAGAGTGTGGTCAGCTTGTTAAATGTTTATGTAAGAGCATGGAAGTAATATTTAGAGATACCAAAACAAAAGGAATAGATATATTTATAAGTTTTTTGTTTTAATTTTAATACCGACGAAGATGCGTGTTTTTAATAAAATTTATGAGTAAATTCCGAAAAAAACTACCAAAACCTGGTGTTTGCTTCTCCACTTCCTATTACTGCTTCATACTTAGTACGAATTACGATTGAATTGAAAACAAATCATGTGACATCCTTGGGGTTATTCCAAACCACTAGTTTTCAACCAGTTTGATAGCTGTTTACAAAGGCTTCATACCGTATTATATTTTTGTAATTGTTCGACTTTTTTTTTTCTAAAAGTATAAGAAGTTTAAATATCATTATCGAACTTTGAAGTTTCATTTTCAAATATATAAAGGAGACAAATGTTTTTTTTAAATGTTCCACAGTTTTTAGCACATTATTTACGAAAATATTATCCCGTATGTGTTAATTTAGAGCTATAGATATAATTTTGACATAAACAGGTTATGCTTCGTACGAATGCCTTGAAAATATGCTTTTTCATGATGTGAAAATAATCATTTTCTGTAATACAAGATATTTGAATACTTTATACCTAAATCTATCACGTGTAAAAATGAAAAAAAAAAACAAGGATTTGTATAATATATTACTATACAAATCCTTGAAACAAAACCAACAGAAATATTTTCAAATATAATTTCTTTAAATCTATTTTTTCTTTAAGAAGAACAAGTATGTCAGAAGGAAATCCGATTTGCATTTTTTTAACCAAATTGTCTGTTTAAGATATTGTATGAAATAATGACTATGTTGTATGTGCTTTACTCATTGTTGAAGGCCGTACGGTGACTTATAGTTATTAGTTTCTATGTCATTTTGTCTCTTGTGAAGAGTTGTCTCATCGCCAATCATACCACATCTTCTTTCTTATATTGGTTGCATGTAGTAAAAATTTATTATCATATTGAATTCGTTTTTGTCCAGAAATATATTGCTCAAACGTATTCTTCATATGATAAAATTTTTGAAAATGAACCATAGCAAACGCAAAAGATATATAAACTCTTACTCTGTCCAAACTGTTCATGTTTTAAATACGTCTGTTTACATGTAGCTTGCATTAAATAAGTTTGGTATTACGTAGTTAATATTTTTTATCATATTGAATTCGTTTTTGTCCAGAAATATATTGCTCAAACGTTTTCTTCATATGATAAAAATTTTGAAAATGAACCATAACAAACGCATAAGATAATTTCTGCCCAAACAGTTCATATATGAAATTAGTGTGGTTGCATGTAGTAAAGATTTATTATCTTATTGATTTCGTTTTGTCCAGTAATACATTGCTTAACGTCTTCATATATGAAAATAAATTTAGATAAATTGCTCTGGAAACAAATCTATTATTTACAAGATATAATTACAAAATACTCTTGAGAATCTGAAGAAAAAAAACATGAATAAAATTTTAACAACTTATTCAGTGCGAAGTCAAATCAAAATTGATCACTGAAATATAATCTGAAAACAATTCATTTATTAGTATCCACACTGCCTGTAACCGAGTACGGCAGAAAGTGATTTTCCCCTGATTACAGTACTGATTTTCCCCGATTGATTACTGATTTTTCCCGATTTTCCTATGTAGAGAACATCAAAAGGGTAATTATATATGAATTAAAGAAAATCTGTGTCAATAATTATGCAACCTCCCTTTTCATTCATACATTTTTATCATTGACCTCGCATGGGCAATATGGATTTTAATGACCAATCCTAAAATTAGAAACTTTTCCAA